AAGCTTTATACGATCTTGTGATGTGGAAGTAATAAAAGCGAGGGACTGCATAATAAAGGTTCATATCACAAGGGGCAATATAAAGTGATGTTCTTTCGCATTAAGATTTTGTGCATCCAACCATAAAAGCGCATGGCAACCTCTGCTTCCCTCTGCGAAGGGCCTATCTTTTATCATTATCTTCTACCTTATGCAAGAGTCATGGTGATTTTCACCCTTCCTTTTTACACTTTATCCTTTGGAAAGAACAGTATGTTGGAAAGATCCTGGTATATATGGCTAATTGGATGTGATTTTTCATGAACTATTGCTGTTGACATTACCCTTGAGGTAAAACGCCGGGAGGCAAGACTATAAGCCCCTATCTTTCTCTATGTCCGATTAAAACTCCACACCCATAAGTATTGCGTGAGTGTCAGCAATTGTGAAAGATTATATGATAGTTGAGTATGTGGACTTCCTGAAAAGCTCTTATACATTGACTCTTTCCTATATTATGATAAATTGCAATTGCTTCAATGACCGAGATTGTAGTTTGTTAGTTTTCAATGAAGTTTATGATTCATACTTGATATTGTGATTGAATTATTACTCTAGCATTAGAGATCATATGACAAAAAATATATAAGTTGTTGTTATAAGAATGATCATGATGCCCTCATGTCCGTATTTTATTTTTATCGACACCTTCATCTCTAAACATGTGGACATATTTTTCAATTTCGGCTTTTCGCTTGAGGACAGGCGAGGTCTAAGCTTGGGGGAGTTGATACGTCCATTTTGCATCATGCTTTTATATCAATATTTATTGCATGATGGGCTGTTATTTCACATTATGTCACAATACTTATGGCTATTCTCTCTTGTTTTACAAGGTTTACATAAGGAGGGAGAATGCCGGCAGCTGGAATTCTGGTCTAGAAAATGAGCAAATATTAGAGACCTATTCTGCACAACTCCAAAAGTCCTGAAACTCCACGGAACACCTTATAATAAATAATGAAAAATCATCGCCGAAGATGAAGACCAGGGGCCCCACACCCTTCTCACGAGGGTGGGGGGCGCCCCCCCCCTAGGGCGCACCCCTACCTCGTGGGACCCCTAGTGGCTCTCTAATGACCATCTTCTCCTATATGAAGTCTTTAGCCGAGAAAAAAATAAGAAGCAACCTTTCGGGACGAAACTCCGCCGCCATGAGGCGGAACCTTGGCGGATCCAATCTAGAGCTCCGGCAGAGCTGTTCTGCCGGGGAAACTTCCCTCCCGGAGGGGGAAATCATCGCCATCGTCATCACCAGCGCTCCTCTCATCGGGAGAGGGCAATCTCCATCAACATCTTCATCATCATCATCTCATCTCAAAACCCTAGTTCATCTCTTGTATCCAATTCTTGTCTCCAAGTCCGGGATTGGTGCTATTAGGTTGCTAGTAGTGTTAATTACTCCTTGTAGTTGATGCTAGTTGGTTTAATTGGTGGAAGATCATATGTTCAGATCCTTTGTGCATATTATTACCCTATGATTATGAACATGAATATGCTTTGTGAGTAGTTACGTTTGTTCCTGAGGACAAGGGAGAAGTCTTGCTATTAGTAGTCATGTGAATTTGGTATTCGTTCGATATTTTGATGAATTGTATGTTGTCTAGCCTCTAGTGGTGTTATGTGAACGTCGACTACATAACACTTCTCCATTATTTGGGCCTAGAGGAAGGCATTGGGAAGTAATAAGTAGATGATGGGTTGCTAGAGTGACAAAAGCTTAAACCCTAGTTTATGCGTTGCTTCGCAAGGGGATGATTTGGATCCATATGTTTCATGCTATGGTTAGGTTTACCTTAATACTTTTGTTGCAGTTGCGGATGCTTGCAATAGAGGTTAATCATAAGTGGGATGCTTGTCCAAGTAAGAACAGCACCCAAGTACCATTCCACCCACATATCCAATTATCAAAGTACCGAACGCGAATCATATGAGCGTGATAAAAACTAGCTTGACGATATTCCCATGTGTCCTCGGGAGCGCTTTTCCTTATGTAAGAGTTTGTCCAGGCTTGTCCTTTGCTACAAAAAGGATTGGGCCACCTTGCTGCACTTTATTTACTTTTGTTACTTGTTGCTCGTTACAAATTATCTCATCACAAAACTATCTGTTACCACTTATTTCAGTACTTGCAGAGAATACCTTGCTGAAAACCGTTTATCATTTCCTTCTGCTCCTCGTTGGGTACGACACTCTTACTTATCGAAAGGACTACGATAGATCCCCTATACTTGTGGGTCATCACATGCCTACCACAGGTCTAGGTTTATCTGTATCACGGGGTTTAGCAATTCTAGCAGTTTCATTACAGAAGTAAATAACATGCCCATCTATATTATCAGACAAGAGATCTTTAACAATAGCAATATTAGGTTCAACTTTAACTTGCTCAGGAGGTGTATATGGTTTAATATTGCTTTTACGAACCACAGTTGAAGCTTTAGCATGATCCTTTATCCTAACAGAGAAAGGTGGTTTCTCAACATAACAAGTAGGAACAATAGGATCATTATAAGTGACAACCTTTTCTTCAACTTTAATAGGTGCAGCTACTTTTACTTCTATGGGAGGATAATATTTAAACCACTTCTCCTTAGGGAGATCAACATAAGTAGCAAAAGATTCACAGAAAGAAGCTACTATCTCAGAATCAAGTCCATATTTAGTGCTAAACTTACGGAAAATATCGGTATCCATAAAAGATTTAACACAATCAAACTTAGGTGTCATACCTGACTCCTTACCTTCGTCGAGATCCCAATCTTCAGAGTTGCGTTTAATTCTATCCAATAAATCCCATCTAAATCCAATAGTCTTCATCATAAAAGAGCCAGCACAGGAAGTATCGAGCATGGTGCGATTATTTTCAGAAAGCCGAGCATAAATTTTTTGAAGAATTGTTTCTCTTGGGAGCTCATGATTGGGGCATGAATATAACATTAATTTAAGCCTCCTCCAAGCTTGAGCGATGCTTTCTCCTTCGCGAGGCCAAAAATTATATATATAATTGCGGTCACGATGAACAAGATGCATAGGGTAATATTTTTGATGAAATTTCAATTTCAATCTTCTATACTTCCATGATCTCGTATCATCACATAGCCTATACCATGTCAATGCGTCTCCCTTCAAATATAAAGGGAAGACCTTCTTCTTAGCAACATCATCAGGTATACCTGCAAGCTTAAATAATTCACAAACTTCATCCACATATATTAGGTGTTCATCAGGATGCTTTGTTCCATCTCCTGTAAAAGGATTAGCTAGCAGTTTTTCTATCATACCCGAAGGATACTCATAAGGAATTTCATTTTCAATAGGTTCAGTAGGTTGAGGAGAAACTCTTTGCTCTACTGGTCGGGGTGAAGATGCCCCGAACAAGCCCCTCGAAGGATTACTTTCCATAGTAACAAGTGACAGTAAATTTCAGCACACTATATAAATTATCAGCGATTCGATCAAACACAGCCGCAACGGCCCTAATCTAAGCTGCAGCCAGCCGGCTAATCACCTGTTGGTCTGACATGGATCGACGATGCGTACTTCTGAATTATCAGCGATCAACATATGCTTTCTAGACGTAAAGCATCAGGGTTGACATGAGTAAACTATCAAGACATCAGGAAATAAATATCAACCAAATTAGGCAAACTTTTTTGCGCAGACCGAGAATATTTCGAGCGAATTTTGTAGTTGAATTTTGAATTCAAATAAGTGAATGAACAAATATTCGAACCAGAGACCTCTCAAAACATGAACTAGGTTGCTACTAACACGCCAGAACCAACTTTCATGGCATTAATTAGATCCTACGTACTTCATAGTAAATCGAGTGTTTAAATTCAAAATTTTCAAAAAAAAATGATGTTTTTTGCTCGGTATGGCGATTTACCGAGGGACACGGAAATACGTGGTAACCATGGGAAATCTTGAAATTTCGACCGGTAACCAAAACAGTGCGCAGCAGGCTAATCACCCGTTGATCTGACTTGGATCGATGGAGCTAATTGCTTCGTACTCGCCGCTGAGTTGTCAGCTGTCTGCAATTTGCAATTGTACCGTCTGCAATGCGTGTCGATGATATCTGCCTAAGTAGCATCATCAATCATGATTGTTCTACATGACTAAGCTCATGGGTCATGGCATGGCCGACGGAACATTCCAACCATCGGTACAACAATTACTCAGACAAGATCAGCAACAATTACTCAGACAACATTGAACACCGGAAGTTGGTTGAGATCTCTGTCGGAATGGAACACTTAAAAATTGTTTTGTTGCTGCTGCTGCTAATTTATGAATATCAATAGAAATCATGAATGGACCAGGTTGGGCAGATGCAAGAATAATTGCACTACGTATCTTATCTGAAATAATTGTGCAATTAATTCCTCAAAAGAATGGTCGACATTTTTCTTGTGTTATTAGGAAAGAAATGGTCCACATCGACCAAACACACATGCTGACATGCCGTCGTTGTGCCCTAATCAAAGCAGCAGGCTGATTAATCACTTGTGATCTGACATTCGTATGTCTAGCATTTTTGTTTGTCAGCTGATTAAGCACCAACTGATGATGATGAGGTTTCGGCTTGCAGTTTGTAAGCTCGCGTCTTCTATCTTTCTGCCCAAGCTCATCGTCATCATTGTTCTAAGCTCATGTGGCATGCAAGATGGAACATGGCTGCCGCGTCACCAGGAAGAAGAATGATGCAGCTTCCAAAAGGGATCTGCTCAGCTGCCATGTGTCCCTTCCTACCAAAAGTCCACACAAAGTCACAAACGTACTCATCTGCAGCCACAAAACCAAATTTGATTTGATCACGGGCCGACCGACCAATGCTACAAGACATGCGAGCTCCACCGCGGCCATGCATGGCGCCACAGCATTACTGTACCTCAGCTGAGCTCCACCGCCGTATTCGTTTACAGTAGCTGAGCTGAGCTCCGGACATCAACGCCATGGCTTTCTTGCAGAGGATGTACAAGAGCAGGCGCAATGCCGCCGCCGTGACCGCGAGCGCCTCCTTCCTGCTGCTCCTGCTCGTCGTCATATGCCTTTCCCTGCGCACGCAGCACGGCGGGACCTTCTTCTTCGGCTCGGGCGCCGGAGGGCGGGAGCCGGGGAGCTGCGAGGCGGAGCTGCAGGCGCTGGAGGGCCGCGCCGCGCGGTGCCGGTACCTCCGCTCGTCGTCCCACCCGCCGTGCGCGCCGACCGGGTACGTCGACTACCTCGCGCTCTTCTACTGCGCGTGCGGGGAGGACGAGGAGGGGCTCTGGTGGTGGTCGCCGTGGCTGGGCGGCGCGGCGATCGCGCTCTGGCTGCTCCTTCTCTTCTACCTCCTCGGCGACACCGCCTCCGAGTACTTCTGCGCCTCGCTGGAGGGCCTCTCTGCCGCGCTCCGCCTGCCGCCCGCCGTGGCCGGGGTCACGCTGCTCTCGCTCGGCAACGGCGCGCCCGACGTGCTCTCCAGCGTCGTGGCGTTCGCGTCCGACGGCGGGGAGGCGGGGGACGTGGGGCTCAGCGGCGCGCTCGGCGGCGCGCTGTTCGTGTCCACCGTCGTCGCCGGCGTGGTCGCCATCGTCGCCGCTCGCCGCGGTGGCGCCGTCATTGAGCGGAGCGGGTTCGTGCGCGACGTGTGCTTTCTTCTCGTCGCGCTCTGCTACCTCCTCGCCGTGCTGGTCGCCGGCACGGTCACGGTGTGGGCGGCCGCGTGCTTCCTCTCCCTCTACGCCGCCTACGTCCTCCTCGTCTCGACGTCGCACTGCTGCTCCGCCGCCGCCGACGACGACAGCACAAAGACAATGAAGCCTTCCGATGACCTCGCCGCCCCGCTCCTCCTCCCGGTCACCGTATCCTCCAAGCAGCCACCAAGGACCTTCGCCAGCGGCCTCTTGGCCGCAGTCCACGCGCCGCTCTACCTCCCGCGCCGCCTCACCATCCCGGACATCGACGGGCACCGCTGGTCCAGGCCGTATGCCATCACGTCAGCGCTCCTCGGCCCTCTCCTCCTCGCCGTAGTCACCTCCCCGACCAGCCCGACCGCGCTCCTCGCCGGCACCCTCACCGGCACGCTCCTCGCCATCGCCGCGGCCGCGACCACGGACGCCGCGGCACCACCACACGGCCGGTACGCCCGCCTCGTGTGGCTCAGCGGCGGGTTCCTCATGTCCATCCTCTGGTCCTACCTCCTGGCCCGGGAGCTCGTGGCCCTCCTCGTGTCCACCGGCATCATCGTCGGCGTCCCCGCGAGCGTGCTGGGGGTCACCGTGCTCGCGTGGGGCAACTCCCTCGGCGACATGGTCGCGGACGTGGCGATGGCGACGCAGGACGGCGCGGCGGGCGCCCAGACGGCCGTGGCGGGGTGCTACGCCGGGCCGGCGTTCAACACGGTGGTGGGGCTGGGGCTGTCGATGGCACTGGCGGCGGGGGCGCGGTACCCGGAGCCGTACAGGATCCCGGTGGATGCGGCGACGTACGTGACGGTGGCGTTCCTGGTGGGCGGGCTGGCGTGGGCGTTGGTGGTGCTGCCGGCGAGGGGGATGAGGCTGGACGTCACGCTCGGTGCCGGGCTGCTCGCCGTGTACCTCTGCTTCATCGCCGTCCGGGTCGCCGACGCCGTCGGCGTCCTCAGCCTAGATTCTCTCCTACCGAGACAGTGATTGAGGACTGTCGGATTTGATTTGATGGTGCAGCGGCAAGATCGAACAAGATCCTGAGGCTAAAAGAGTAGTAGTACGTAGGTTGGTGCGGAAGTGATGGAGCTGGCTTGGCTTGGCTGCTTCTCACACACGCTCGTGACACTTCAGTTGTGAGAGGGCAATGCATGCATGTGGATATGTAAAGCCACAAAACAAAGTCATTCTTTGTTATCTGTTGTAAATTAAGTATGATATAGGAAAAAGGGGATGAAGTACTTGTCTATAATTGTTAATTGCCATGTAAAGTACAGGTACATACTATGAGTAAATGCTTTAATTCACTATAAACTCTCTCAATCAATTGAGGTCTCTAATTTGAAACTTGGTCCACTTGATCAACCTCTTGTGTTTTGTGGAGTTATCTGCGGATGGATGGGCTTGTTGGTAGGTAGTTGGTATGGTGGAGTGATACGAGTCGATTCAGGGCAGCGATTTCAAGAGCCCACAGCACTCTGGAGGTTGTTTTCCTTCTTTCTTCACTGGTCTGTCGGTGTTGACCACGTATCGCACGCCTCGCCCCAAGGGCCGTCAATGGGCCATGTGTTCTTGTCATGTTGCGTCTCTAGGGCGACCCAATTTTGCCATACCTTTTTGTTATATGTGCAGAAGGGCTGTCAGCGATGCTCAAGGATGCGCAACAAAGGGGAACAATGAACGGCATTCAAGTCTGTGCAGGGGCTCCCTCAATCTCTCAACTATTTTTTGCCGATGACTCGGTTCTGTTGATGAGAGCGAGGGAGGATGAAGCCAGGGAATTGAGGTGAATCCTTGCGGTATATGAAAGGTGTTCGGGACAGTGCATTTTTCAGGAAAAATCTGCTATCATGCTCAGTAAGAACAGTATGACGCAATCCAAACAGAGTGTAAAGGATACTCTCGGCATCACCAGTGAAGCGTATAATGAAAATTACCTAGGGCTCCCTGTGTATATTGGGCGATCGAAGAGGAAGGCGTTTGCTTACTTGAGGGATGCTATATGGAATCATATGCAGGGCTGGAACGAGCGCACTCTGTCTCGTCAGGGAAAGGAAATCTTAGTTAAGGGAGTCGCACAGGCAGTCCCCACCTTTGCCATGTCAGTGTTTTACCTAACGAAGACCTTTTGTGATGAGTTGAGTGCAATGATAGGTCGGTATTGGTGCAACCAACAGGAATATGAAAACAAAGTGCACTGGGTGGGCTGCCAGAAGCTCACTGAATCCAAAGGCAAAGGAGGACTTGGGTTCAGAGATATACATGACTTCAACATTGCTATGTTAGCAAGGCAGGTGTGGCGACTCATCCAGCAACCGGATAGCCTCTGTGCACAGATGATGAAGGCCAAGTATTACCCGAACTGTGATGTGTTGGAAGCGGATCTGAGCGCCAATGTGTCATATGCTTGGAGGAGTATTACACATGGAATTGGCCTCATCAAAAAAGGTGTGATTTGGCGGGTTGGTGATGGACAAAATATCCATATATGGGATGATCCATGGATCCCTAGGGCTTGGCCCACGAAAGTTGTGACTCCTAGAGGGAGCAGTTTGTTAACTAAGGTGTTCGAAATCATCGATCCGACCACTGGGAAGTGGGACGAGGAGCTCATAAGAGACATGTTTTGGGAGGAGGATGCCGCCTTAATCCTTCAGCTACCACTTCGGGATGGAGCCGAGGATTTCCGAGCATGGCATTTTGACAGCAAAGGACTGTTCTCTGTTAAGCAAGCCTACAAACTACAACGAGTGTTCTCCGAGCACTCCGGCGAGGGTCAGACAGGCGAGCCACAAGCTGTTGGCGACCTAGATGGCGGCGGTGATGTGAGATGGAAAAGGATCTGGAAGCTTCCGTGCCCGGGGAAAATCAGACATTTTGTATGGCGGATGGCTCATAACATGATCGCCACAAAGGACATCCTGGCGAAAAGAGGAATGAATATTGAAGACCACAGGTGCTTCATGTGCAATGCGAGACATGAGTCAGGGAAACACCTCTTCGTTGACTGTAGTGAGGTCAAACCGGTGTGGTTGAAGCTTGAACTCGAACATATTAGGCTGCAACTCTCAAACTGCGAGTCTGTGGGTGAGACCATGGACACTTTATGGCAGGCCCCGGAATGAGAGGATGTAGGTCATCGTAATGTGGTGGCAATGGTGGAACCAGAGGAACAAGGTGCGTGAAGGGGAGAAGCCCATGGATCACGACCAGTTCGTGTGTAGGGCTGCATGCACGGCTGCGAAATACCTGGGGTGTTTATGCAAAATTCCCAAGCTCAGCGGGATCCCTCAGGCCTGGTCCCTGCCGCCGCCGGATGAGCTGAAGCTGAATGTCGATGGTGCCTATAACCCGGGAAGCCAGCATGGGGCATGGGCGTGATCATTCGTGACTCTATGGAGCACGTGGTAGCTGCACGAGCGGGACGGGTTGATCACGTAGCCTCGGCATTTGACACGGAGCTGCAAGCCGTCGAGCAAGCGCTGGACGTAGCGGCCGAACTAGGGGTGTTGCGGCTTACTGTGGAAACGGACGCGCTCCTGGTGCAACAAGCTTTAAATCGGCGAGCTCCAGACTTCTCCAGGCAAACCCATGTGATTGAGGATGTCAAAGTACAAGCGCGGCTATGGTTTGCTTCCTGTGTATTTGCTCATTGTAAGAGAGAAGCCAATACGGCTGCCCACAATCTAGCTAAGATCGGCTTGTCACTCGCTGCGGGTGAGGTTATTGTACTGGATGATGACCTTCCAGCTGATGTAGCTGCTTCTTTTATGGGCGATTCTTCCCAAGTTGTTGCGTAATAAAGCATTTTGCTTGACCTAAAAAAGAAGACCGCGCGGAGGTGAAGAGGAAAAAAATCAGAGGTGGTTGGGCGCAGAAGCGGCTCCACAAGATCTTGGTTGCTAGGAGTAGGAGGCTTGAGGGAAGTTTGGCGTTCTTCCCGGTTGGGTGTTCGACGGCTGCGAGCACGCTTCTAAGAGCAACGTCTTTCCAAGCCGGTCATTCGGCGGCTAGACGTTCGGCGGTTGCAACCTCGCTTGCTGGGACCTGTCTTTTTCGGTTGGGTGTTAGGTGGATGAGACCTCATCGGCTGGCACTAGTGTTTTTTTCCTTTCTTTGTTCGTTGTTTTTCCGGGGGTGTCGCTTTTTCTCATTTTCCTTTGAGTATCTAGATTTTTTCGTTTTGCCTTCCTCTTGCATTCGATTGTATGGCTCTTGTCAATTGTTGTTTTAGAGTGTGTTAGTACATTATAGTGGCTTGTTGTTCACGGGCTTCATGATTTTGATCTGGACTGATGTTTGATGTTTTTTTAATTGGTTGCCGTGTGTTTGTTTTATCGTGAACCACTGATGCTTGCTTTTATGACGGTCGTCTGCTCATGGGCAACCTTTGCTTGTCTGCGTGGATTGGTGGTCCATGGTGTTTTCTTCGTTGTTTTGCCATGGCATGGGAGAGAAACCCTTGTTTTTTATCTCTGATTTTGGGTTGTCGTGTAGTATTTTGTTGTGCTTATGTTTTGTAATGATCAGCTGTAGTTTCTCCATGATAATATGATGAAGTTTTATTGCCATCAATACTATCATAATAGGGGGTTGCCAAACCGTTTTTACATGTCGTTGATGTTTAACTTAGCAAGCCAAAATTGATGTATGTATGTGCGTTGAGTGTGATAGGTTGTCCTGGCGTATACATACAAGGATGCCGCATTCCATCTATGCAAGCGGTGCAGCAAAGCGCACAAAGTGCTTCTCGTATATGATCATTTCCAACCCAGCCATCTAGGATGAATTACCACCCGCTTAGGACTTAGTTGACTGAGAACTTGGTAGACCCAACTGCAACACCTCCACAAAACCTCTTCACTTAATCATAACAACATGCCGACGTCGTTGGTCAAGACTTGAGAAAATATCAAGTCATTGACGACTAACAATTAATCCATGATAAGTTACAATAACATGACGCCAAAAAATGTCTTTAGATTACATACCATACATTATCTTGTTTTATCATTGTTTTCCAAAAAGGTTGTGAACCTCTTCGGAATGTACATGTACAATTTGTACATACATATGTGTTTATGTGTGTCTTTCATTTTTATTTATCTTAAATTCTTAGAACCAATAGTTATAATTTAGAAAATACTGTAATCATAGAAATTTTCTCAGTACACGTGTGGTCGCTACTTGTTATATCATCTTCAATCGGACGCCCTAACCCCCCATATGTCTGCCATCCGACCTGGTCCCCCATACCCATTCCGTATGCCCGAGTTATCTGGTATCCTTCAAACCTAGCCCATATACACGCAGATTTGGGGCCGCCTGGACATGTCCACCATGCCGGACCCACATCAAATCCCCTAAATCGACCTCCATCCTTTCCCAACCTACCATCTTCCTCTCTGTTATGTCCTCATCCGCTCTGCCCTTTGCCCGTTCTACTCCCCCGCCATAGCTTTGTCGCCATCCCCCATCCGGCCCTAACCCGCAAAACCGTCCATCGTTCGTCCAGACGTCCTTCTTGCACCAAATGCGACCGCCACCCTGGTGCGTCCTACTCCACCTAACATATACCTTGCATGTCTAGTTTTTGATGAAATGTTAAGAGTTTTTAGGTTATTTTTGTGCATTTGTAGCTAAACGATGGATTTATTGGAGGATGAGTTTGCTTACCCATAGCTTGATGAGTTCATTATCAAGGAGTTCATCAATTCGTCATATTCATACATTGATGACCACGAAGATGAAGACCTGATGGTGATGATGAGCATCCTTGAAGACATGGAGAAGCAAGAGGAGCATGTTCTCAACTTCAAGGGTTCGATGCCAGGCAGGATAGTTGTGGCCCGTGATAGGATAAAGGGACAACAAGATCTCTACAACAAATATGTATTCAGTGTGCTTTTTTTGCATCACTTATGGATGATCAAACATTTGTTCCTGTGCGTAGTGGAGGGTGTGAAGGCATATGATCCTTACTTCGT